AGTCCTACACAACTGAAGCGAATGAGCAGGCAGCAGAATGGGTTAAAGCATGATCAGGAAAGTAAGGAAAGAGAGACAGCACACATAGAAACATGAAAGAAGTTTAGCTATAAAAGGAGCAAAGAAATTCAGGGATAAATGTGGAAGGATACATGTCAAGGGAGGATGACAAGATGAAAGGATTATAGCATGTTTATTTGTCATTGGGAGTGATACAGCAGAGCAAATTTCTTGCTTTTTTTTTTTTCTTCTGGCCACACTGCAGGGCTTGCAGGATCTTACAGGGTTGAACCCAGACCCACAGGAGTGAAAGCACTGAGTCTTAACCACTGGACCGCCAGGAAATTCCCTTGTTTGACTTAAATCAGGGTGAAATTCATGAAAGAATATAAGGAAACTGGGAGGTTTGACCCTGGATAGGAACAGGATGTTTCCACTGTGGAAATTAGAGTAACAAGGGTGAAGATGGATGCAAATGCAGGGGAGAGGTAAAACAAGCTTGCAGTTTTCCTAGTGGGACTGCCTTGGTGGTATTGGTACCCATTTGAAGTTTGTGGTTATGAGTTCATTATTATTATTTTGGTCACATAGCATTCAGGATCTCAGTTCCCTAAGAGGGATCAAACCCACACCCCCTGCAGTGGAAGTGGGGACTCTTAACCACTGGACTTGCCAGGGAAGTCCTGACCATGAGTTTATTTATTTATTTATTTTTCCATTTATTTTTGACCATGAGTTTAAAGTTAAACCAGTTGGCCAGTGTGTGGTTTTCCTCCAGCAACGTTTAACTGATTGGGTATGGACGTGAAGAAAAGGGATAATTTCATTTCTCAGGATCAGGACCCAAGTTTTCTGACACCTAGTCTTAGGTACTTGCCTTATGTGATTAACTATTCTAGAAATGTGTGAAATATTTGGAAAATTTACATGTGACCCCTTTTTCTAGAAACCAAATTATTTCAGTTATCTCATGTACACTTGAGGACTCAGGCATAAAGAAAAGGCAAACTTTTTTTGAGAAAAATTACCAGACATCTCTGGCATATTTGCATTTTGTATTTTTTTCAGCCTGCCACTCCAAAAAGCCCCTGGTATACTTAGGAACTGTGTACTGGAAACAAAGCTGATTTACACTTCAATTCTTAGCTTCTTTTTTTCTAGTACTTGTAATAATATAATTCATTTTCTCTAAGACCTTTCCTCATACCATCTTATCTTTAAGCTTCAAGAATATCATCTAAAGCTTTAATGTAGGTAAATATAAAGCAATATATTTAGATGACAAAAATACTTCAGCTGTACTTACAATTATCTTTATAGCTGCTATGGTCTAAATCTTTGTGTCCTCTCCAAAACTCCTATGTGGAAATCCTAATGTTAGATATGATGGTATTAGTAAGTGGGACCTTGGGAGGTGCTTACGTCCCTCAGAAATGGGACTAGTGCCTTATAAAAGAGGCTTCATAGAGATCTGAGCCCCTGCCACCACGTGAGGACACAGCCAGAAGGCACCAGCTGTGAACTAGGAAAAGGGTCTTCACCAGAATGTGACTATGTTGGTGCTTTGACCTCAGATTTTCCAGCCTCCAGAACTGTGAACAGTAAACATCTGCTGTTTATAAGCACCCAGTTGGTGGTATTTTGTTATAGCACCCTGAACGGACTAAGACAACTACTAATATTTACACTGTATCAACTATCATTACAAGTATAGGCCCTCTGAGGCATCAATTAGAAACCAGAATGAGGTCCAAGTGGCCTTGGAGCCTGCTCTCTGCTCTCTGAAGATGAAGATCCCATGTGCTGCTCTAACATGGCTGAGAAAATGCTGAGAATCACTAGGAAAGAACAAAAGGAAATGTTTTCTTCTTGCAGGAAATGGTGATGTGTCCTACTTTGTGCATGAAGTTGGCCCTAAAGATCAAGGGATGGAAAGCCAGTCCAAAAGGATAGTCTGTTTCAGGCAGGACAGAAACAGGCTGAGAAGAGTAATATGGTGAGAGCCTGGGGAATGGTTGGGATGATAAAAATAAGGACAAGTTTGTTGCCTGTAGTACTATCCCAGACTTCGTCACCCAGAGAGAACTGTGGTGATTTAAAACCACCCAGTGATTTAAGAAAGTGTTCTTCCCATGGACTATCTCAGGTTTGTAGTCCACAGGAGTTCAGGGCATCATCAGCAGAAGGCTGTCAGCTTACCTCGTGGCAGTAGTGAAGTCACCAAGTTCTAAGACCTGGCCCTCAGCCTCCAGAGTGGATTCCTTTCTTAGAGACTCATCAGGTTCACAGGAGCTTGGTGGATAAGCCAAGTGACATTTTATTAACTGAGAGGTGGACTGGTGCTCACATGCCGACAAAAGGTATGTTCTCTCCCTGTAGGAGAGCCTCCTGGGAAGCCATATTACCAGAAATCTTCAGTAAGCAGTTAATTAGGTTGAGATATAATTTATATAATGTAAATGTTTAATATCATCCTCTCCAGATGCTGGAGTCATACTGTCCGGCATTTGAATCTTGTCTTGGTTTCTTATTAGCTGTGTGATCTTAAGTGAATTAGTAACAACTCAACTGCAGGTTTCTTCTCTATAACACTTCTTCACAAAGTGGTAAGGATTGAATGACAAAATCCAAGTAAAACTTTAGGCATAGTTCAAGGCACTGATGATCATACAATAAATGTAAACTGTAATTTTTTTTTTATGCTCTTGTTAACCTACCCTCACTCCCAAATTTGCCTTCTGATGGCCATGGTCTTTAATTAATTAATAGGATTAATTAATTGAATTATTTACTGACTAGGCTTTCCTTGACCTGGAAGCCATTCTTTCTGAGGAAAGTATATTTTGTGCTATTATTCTCAGAAGAACAATTCTATTTCCAAATCTTCCTTAGCTCCCACTGTTGCCCCCAGGTAAAGCTTGCAATAATTGTTATCATTTATATATTTGGGGGGAACTCATTAAGCAAGAGACTCAATGAACTGAGGAGAGATGTGCTGATTTTCTGAGTAAAAATGGGCAAGACTCTTCCCGCCCACTTTGCGGGATAAGACCTAAAGCTACACCTGAGCACTCCCATTGCTCTGTGTCTACTGAGGACATGTGTGAGGTATAATCCAGTTCAGCAAAGATTTACTGAATACTGTCTTCAGCTCCCTTTCTAGGCACAGGGAATACAAAGATGAACCAAGATGTGTTTCCTGCTCTTAAAGTTTAGAAAACAAAACCAAAACACATTAATGCATAACTGTGATAATGGGAAGAAATGGACTCATAAAGGAGCAAATCATTTCCCAGGAGCATCTCATTACAGCTTGGTGTTAATAGAATCAGAAGGGCTTCCCCAGTGGCTCAGTGGTAAAGAACCTGCCTTTCCAATGCAGAAGATGTGGGTTCGATCCCTGGGTTGGGAAGATCCCCTGGAGGAGGAAATGGTAACCTACTTCAGTATTCTTGCCTGGAGAATCCCATGGACAGAGGAGTCTGGCAGGCTACAGTTCATGGGGTAGCAAAGAGTCAGACATGACTGAGCACACAGGCATGCAAAAGCTCAGAAGGCATTAACAAGGTAAGACATGTAAGGTGAAGAGCCATAATCAAGGGCATAAGAGGGTACAAGAGTTTTGGGGGGACAGTAAGTCATCCCATTCTTTCGGATGAGGGTGTAGTGATACTAAACCTTGAAAGATATTTGGATTTTTTGATTCAATCAAAAATAGGCCAAAGATCTAAACAGACATTTCTCCAAAGAAGACATACAGCTGGCTAATAAACACATGAAAAGATGCTCAACATCACTCATTGTCAGAGAAATGCAAATCAAAACCTCAATGAGGTACCATCACACGCCAGTCAGGATGGCTGCTATCCAAAAGTCTACAAGCAATAAATGCTGGAGAGGGTGTGGAGAAAAGGGAACCCTCTTACACTGTTGGTGGGAATGCAAACTAGTACAGCCACTGTGGAGAACAGTGTGGAGATTCCTTAAAAAACTGGACATAGAACTGCCACATGACCCAGCAATCTGACTTTGGGCTCACACACTGAGGAAACCAGATCTGAAAGAGACACGTGTACCCCAATGTTCATCACAGCACTGTTTATAATAGCCAGGACATGGAAGCAACCTAGATGCCCATCAGCAGACAAATGGATAAGGAAGCTGTGGTACATATACACTATGGAATATTACTCAGCCGTTAAAAAGAATTCATTTGAATCAGTTCTAATGAGATGGATGAAACTGGAGCCCATTATACAGAGTGAAGTAAGCCAGAAAGATAAAGACCAATACATTATACTAACGCATATATATGGAATTTAAACAGATTGTAACGATAACCCTATATGCACAACAGAAAAAGAAACACAGATGTCCAGAACAGACTTTTGGACTCTGTGGGAGAAGGCGAGGGTGGGATGTTCTGAGAGAATAGCATTGAAACAAGTATACTATCAAGGGTGAAACAGATCGCCAGCCCAGGTTGGATGCATGAGACAACTGCTCAGGGCTGGTGCACTGGGAAGACCCAGAGGGATGGGATGGAGAGGGAGGTGGGAGGGGGGATCGGGATGGGGAACACATGTAACTCCATGGCTGATTCATGTCAATGTATGGCAAAAACCACTACAATATTGTAATTAGCCTCCAACTAATAAAAAGGAAAAAAAAAAAAAGATATTTGGAAAGTTTTCAATCTCAACTGCCAAGGCCAACCACTTTCTCCTAAATTTTTTCTCCTGCCTTTCTATATCATCTCCTATCCAGACCACAAGAATTTGTTTCCTTATTGATATCTGCTTTCTTCAGAACCCTATGAAAATTCTATTTTACCTCCCAGCTCAAACTATTGCTCTCTACAGTCTAAAGGATTTTGCTTGGGCCTACATCTCACATTTGAGCAGTAGGTTACTTTTGTTCTCTGTGCTCTTACCTGCATTTTTCAGATGTGCATTGATCACCCTTAAATAATCCACCTAATCTGTTCACTTTAAAAAAAAAAATCTGTTCACTTTTCATTTTAAAAAACACCTTCACAGTTCTTTTTGAAGAGCCAGCCACAGTTTTGTCCCTTAACTCTGGAAGTGAAGTGACTTGCTCAGAGTTGTCCAGTAACTTGTTGACAAAACCAGAATGAGTACTCAGATCTTCCAGCCCCACCCTCTCTCTTCCTGTTCTTTCATTGGCCACTCTGAGCTCCTCATTCTATTAGGTAACATTTCCATTTTTATAGGATCCTCTGTACTTGATGCTTTAGCTCAGGGAGTGCTTGGGAGGGGGAAAAGGAAGGGAGGTCTATCAGGTGAGCTCTGGACCCCTTTGCTCCCTCATTTTCTCCCCCTCCAAATTTTATGTGATTTGTTTAGAGGTAAAAAGGTTTCTTCCCCTCCACACAAGTTGGACAGTGCCTTAACCCAAAGGGAGGGCTTTAATGGTGGAAATTTCAGGCTGTTAGTAAATAGAAGAGGTATTTGGAATCATGACTTACTAATCTGTAAGTAAACCTTGAATAGGGCTTCCCAGGTGGCTCAGGAGCCCTATTAATTAATTAAAGACCATGGCCATCAGCTCAGGAGCCTGGCAGTCCATGGGGTCACAAAGAGTCAGAAACGATGAAGCAACTGAGCATGCACACATGCATGCAAGTCCTGAATCAACTGCTCTATGCCCAAGGTTAGGGTGCTACTGGAGAGAGAGGATGCCCCTAGCCCTCAAGTGCCTCATGTTTTGTCTTGTATTAATCTGGAGACACTAAACCCTCATGAGTATTAATAGGTAAAAGTCAAGGATGGAGAAGCAAGTAAAAGGAGGGTATGGCTAGCAGGTGTGGGAGGAACAGATTAGTGACTAGATAATCACTGTGGTCATACAAGACTTCACAGTGAAGCAAGGATAATTCTCAAACTTCTCCCTCTAGCCTACATATTTCTCTTCGTGCCCAGATCTACAAGTCTAGCTTCTTTCTGGACACTTCCTCCTGGATGGCTCCCATGCTACCGTTAGGAGCCTTGTCACTCTCCTCCTCATTTGCTTCGCTAGGGCTCCCCCTTTACAGTGAAAGATACCCCCATCCATCCACCACACTGGCCAGAAACCTAAGCTTCATTCTCTCCTCTCCCACATCCCATCAGTCTCCAAATCCCATCCATACCTTCTGAACATTTCACTCTAACCTCCTCTCTATCCCTGCCTGGCTTAGCATCAGGCTCCTCACTGCTCCCTGCCTCCTCCCTCAACACAAAGCAACCTTTCCAAACCACAGATGGGATCACAAAATTCCCCCACTTCAAGCCCATGCATGAGTCCCCAGTGTCCTAGGAGTAAATCCCAACTCCTCAGCCACTCCACAAGCCCCTTTCTAACTGCCCCCTCTGGCCCCTGGGAATTCAACTTGCCTCCTCCACTTGTCTGACCTCAGTTCTCTCTCCCTGTATTGTCCCCTGCTCAGGCTTCCATTCCATTCCTTATTTGAGAACCCAGTGGTAAAAGTGCATTCTAAGGAGCTACATTTCATAGGGGACTCTGAGGGGTGTTTTTATCCAGACTTTTTCTGCACTAAACATACACTGTTCTTTCATATTCACAGTGTTTTCAGATTGTGTTCAGTTTTAGAGATATACATCAAAAGCTATTTCTTGACCACTTACTATGTATTTGGCCTTAGTTGCTGGGAACAGTAAAGGCAGATGCAGCCTGATTAAACAGAATTGCCTGGAGCACATGTTTAAAATAAAGATTCCTTGGTCTCTGAATTTGAATCTCCAGGGAAGTTCTCAGGTGAATTTTAGAACTGAGTAAGTTGGAAAGACCTAACCTGATTTCATTTATAAGAAATATTCAGGGACCTCCCAGTGGCTAAAATTCCCACTTCCACTACTGGGGACATGGGTTCAATCCCTAATTAGGGAACTAAGATCCCACATGCCAGGTGATACAGCGCCCCCCCCCCCCCAAAAGAAGAAAGAAATATCCAGAACAGGCAAATCTATAGAATCTATGTAGATTAGTGGTTGCCTTGGGGGCTGGGGAGCAGGAAAGGGAAGGGGATGCAGAGATCCTGGGGATGATACTTAAGGAGTGCCGAGTTTCTTTTGAGATTGATGAAATCTCTAAAATTGATTTGGTGATGATTGCACAACCCTAAATACACTAAAAGCCGCTACTGAATTGTACATTTTAAACGGATGAATTGTATGGTATGCGGACTAAATCTCAATAAAGCTGTTTAAAAACAAAACAAAAAACTTGGACCAAGCTCTACAAGGAAGGCAGCAATCATCTTTCCCAGACTTGGGTGGTATGCGTTACCTAGCTGACTAGTCAGCAAATACTGATGTGTATATTGGAGGTGTAAACGAGTGATTGCAATGGGGTGTGATTCCCCTAAAACTGTACTAGGGGAAACGCATGCTCCTATGACAGGAGCACAGTGGAAGGGAAGCTTCCTGAGGAAATTTGTGATGTTCAGGTTGAAGCCTATCAGGTAACCAGACATTAGCAAGGCAAGATGAGGAGTGTACCACAGAAGGGCAAGCAAGCCCCAAGGATGGTTCAGTGAGGTCCAGTGCAGACTGAGAAGTTAGGTGGCAGAAGTGGGGCTTGAGAGAGGAACCCACTTAAAAGCCTTTGTGAGCCAGGTTGAGGGGGCTGGAATTTTCCCTAAGAGAAACAGACTATAGTGATGGGTCTGTTTTTAGAAATCACTTTGCACCTTGGAGACTGGATGGAAAAAGGGCAAGACCAGAGGCAGGGAGCCTGTGAGGGGGCAGTTTTAGTGTTTAGGAAAGAGGTCAACGTGTCTGGAAACTGAGTGGTGCCAATGAGGATGAAGAGAAACAGACAGAACTTAGCAATATTTAGGGCATTTAATTGCGAAGATTCTGATAGTTGGGATGAGGGCACAGGGGCAAGAATCAAGGGTGAGGCCCAGTTGTGTGGCTTGAGTGCCTGGGTAGTTGGTAACCCCAAGAATCTAGGAGAAGCAGGTGTTGAGATGTTTGATTTTGAGCATGCTCTTCAAAAGATGTCCAGTCAGCAGTTGGATATGAGGGTCAGGAGATGAGGAGAGAGCCATGTGAATCACAGCCATGAGGCATACAGCCTTAGCATATAGATGGAAGCCAGAGAAATGGATAAGGTGGTTCAGGGAGTATGTTTCAAAAGAGAGGAGCAAGGGGCCTACAATGGAATGCTGTGGAGTGATGTTTGTAAGAGGATGCTTGAAGAAGAAGAGAAAGTTATAGGGAGATTCAGAGCAAACAGCTAGAAACGTCAGTGTTAGCATGGCAATTCAGTTGCTTATTCAGCTTCTCCAAGTCAATACTCTTGGCAGATCCAATATGCTCTGGGTGTCTTCAGAGAGAAATGAGACTTGACCCTTGATAGCAAACTCAAATTGTGACCATCACCCCATTGCAGCCTTCTGAAACAAGGGGTCCCTTCCTGCAGGTCAATGACAGTCTTATTTTCCAAATGATAGATGTTTTTCCTTAGCAGTTCATACAGGTCTAGGAGTTCTTCCCAAGCTCACCCTCTGTATTACATCGGCCCAGGAGAGCCAGGTCCGGCAGTCAGGCCAAGAGCCTTCTGTCCGTGGCCAAAAGATGGCCTAAATAGGGTCCTCCAGGGATGCCAGGGGTGGGGGGAGCATGTCATATGCCCAGGGTTCAGCAAATTGTGCCCACACACCAGGCAGAAGTACACAAGGAAGGCAGCCCCGCTTGTGGGCGAGACAAAGAAGCAGTTCTCTTCCCACGTGCCAACCCATCTGCCTCTTTGCCGTTACCAACATGTTTTTTCTTTCTTCTTTTTTTGGTCCTCTGAAGATTTGAATACATGAGGAAGGAGAGTAGGAGATTGCAGGAAAGGTAAGGTTGGAAGAGGGCAAAAGGAAAGGAGGTGTGGGGGGGGATACAGTGCCCACCGACCCAATAAACTGCATCCCGGACTACCTCAGCCTGGTCCCTTTTTCTGCAGCACGGGCTTATAAGTTTCTCCCGGGGAGAGACCCAGCAGTGGTGGCCAGGGCATAGCTGCGGCCTTGATAGACTTGATCGATGGGGCGTTTCTCAGGGTGTCACAGACCTTGGAGGCCCACTTCCTTCTGTCCCCTCACAGAGGCTGGCACAGGCTCCACAGGACAGCTGGGCACAGGCTTTCCCTGCTCTGGTGCATTGGACTCCTGGTGGTGTCATCAGCCTCCCGTCACCAGAGGCAGCAGGCTCAAAACTGTCCAGAGTCGCCAGAGTGAGAGCCTCTCCGAACCTGTGTGACAGCAGGGGGAGGTGTGCTGGGAGCAGCCTTGCCCTGAGGGGAGACCTATGGGAGCACCTGTGAGGGTTTGTGTGTGCCGGGGGAGGGCAGGGTGTACAGAAGGGAGGACGAGGGCTTCCCCTGCCCCCCACCCCCGCCACCTCATAGACGTGGGCCTGAGCGTAGGAGGCCGTACAGCCTGACTTTAAGTAACTGATGGAGAGGGGTTAGGTGGCTGTTCTGGGTTGATCCACTGCTCTGAACTGGGTAGGCTCGATGGGGCAAAGGCCCAAGGCTCTTTTTGTCTCGGCCTTGACAGTGCTTCCGCTGTACCTCACAGTGCCCTAATTCTAGCTCCTACTCACCCTGACCCTCCAATCCACCCTCACCTAGAGTTGAATACGAGGCTTAGGATTCAGGGCTCTCCTTGTAGAGGACAGAGTTAGGTGCCCTATCCCTTCCCAGAATTGGAAATTAGAGATGTAGGGCCACTCAAATTTCCAGTGACCTGTTGACCCCTGGCAGGGGTGTTTTTCCATCCTCCATTTCTTGCCCAGGCCCTGTTCTCTCCTGTGGGTTGAGCCATGAGCTACTGCTGGTCCAGTCACCCTGCTGCACTTTCCCAGGACCTGCTAGGCCTGTGTTCACTTCCTCTTTCCCCACCACACAGGCCACACTTTGGATGTCAGTGGACAGTTCTGTCCTCCCAGTGGGGCTCTTGTGGGGCCTCAGGTCTGAGGAGCTCTAGCGGTGGTTCTGGGCCTGCAACCCTGCTTCAGGGGCCCTTGCAGCAGGCCCAGGCTGTGGCCAGCTTTGGGTGCTGGCTTGGTCTGTATCAACTGTTTGCCTTTCCCTACCACTGCAGCCAGTCATCCCCCCAAAACTTAGCTGACCATCTCTCCCGCACCGCCCTTCACAGTTAGAGGGAACACACAGCTCGTGTGCTGAGGGCGGTCGGCCTGCCCCCACCCCCGCGCCCACCCCCACCCAACTGGAATGAGCCACCTGCATCCACACACAGGTGTTTCCTGTGCTCCTTCCTGTTACCGTTTTTTTTCTGCTCAGCTTAGCTTCCCCAGCAGGTGGTTAAAGGCCCAGCCAAACCTCTTCATACACAGCTCTAAAACACAGGGGGGCAGAGCTCTCTGGGGATCAGGGTCACCCCTGGGGGGGGACTGTTGGCACCTCATTGGCTCTTCCTGAGTGCAGGCACACAGACTGTCCCTAGGGTGTCACGCTGCTGTGCTACGGGGACGCCAGAGTGGGCTCAGGGACCGGGGAAGGCCCTCCCCTGCGCTGTCGCCACTGAAAGCTCTGATGGGACAGGGGAAGGTGCAAGATCTGTTTCTCCAGCCTTGAGTGTGGGCATCCCTCCGGTCCTCCTAAGAACAGACCTGCCATCCTGCAGTCCCACCCTACCCTCAGGTCCCTCCCACTGAACTCGTTAGCTTTCTGGGGTTAATAAACTCACGTGAGCCCTCTCCCCGGAGCAGCACAAGTCTGCCAGCTGTAGCAAGGTCACAAGGTTTAGTCAGGTTTGTTATTACAGAGGCGGCGGCTCAGGGACAGGAGGGACTTACTGTTAAGAGAGTCACAGGGCAGCCACCCACGTCACCTGCTTCCCCGGCCCCAGCTCTCCCCTCTACAAGAACCTCCTCTCAACCCACCCAGCGCTCAAGAACCTCCTTGGGCACAGCCCCTTCTGTAGGAAGCTGCCTTTGCTGAAGTAAAGACCCAGAAGCCTGGCATTCCCTGACGGGGTTCTGCTGCCCCCTGGTGGCCAGAAGCTCCAGCCACCACCACACCTTCTCTTCCTGCCTCCTTCCTCTGCCTCCCAGCCAAGCCAGCTGCTGTTGGGGAGCCATTCCCAGGACTGGCACCCTTTGGGCCTTCTCTAGGCCAGCTCCAGAGTTTAGCTCCAGTCTAGTCCCATAGCTTCCAGGCCCAGGGTACACCCACCTGCAGGCCGGGCCTCCTCAGCAACACTCCACCACCCTCTTCCTCTGCCCTCTTTTCCAAGCCCAGTTCCAGCCTCTGGGCTTCTTCCATCTGGATTTCCAGGACAAAAGCACATGGTACTGTCACGGTTGGAGTGTGGACACACTAGTGTCAGGGCCACAGCCAGAAGATGCTGGAGCAGAAGGTTAGGAGTGCACCAGTCCAGGCTATGTAGGAAAGGCATTTCTGCTTTTTTTTTTTTTTTTTATTTTCTGTAAAACTCTGTAAATAAAATACAAAACCAAGGGCAGGGCAGAGGCAGGACGGCCAGGCCCAGGACACTGATCTATGGCAAGTGTGCTGAGCCGAGGCTGGGAGGCACTTGACTGTGGCACTGACTCCACCAACCCCAAGGATAACAGGAGAATATATTAGATTTTCATTGATAGGAATCTGTGAGGGAGGGATGTCTGGAGCCAGCCCTCATCCTCCCTGCCAGTGCCTGGTAAGCCCTGAAGGTGCGGGGAAGGGGCAGTGGGGGCCGCTGGGTGGGGAGTTTAGAACGCTGTGCTGGCCATGCTGCCGGGCCCAAAGATGCGGGGCAGGGCATCCAGTGACTCCTCCAGCCTTCGGTGGGCAGACTGTCCCTCTTCTCCTGGAATGGATAAGGATGGGGTCAGGAGTGGTCCTAGCTCCACCCTTCCCTCCCGCCCCTGACCCCATCTCACCCCTACTCCCAGCAGCCAAATGTCCTAGAACTCAACTAGACTCGTGCCTCCTGATCCCCAGCCTCACCACACTGCTGCAGGCTCTGCCGAGCTGCTTCCCTCACAGCTTCTGTGTCCGTCTGGCAGAGGTACACCAGGGGCTCAATGCCTTCTGGAGCCTACCAGGGGAGAGAGCACTGAGGTGGGCCCAGGGGAGCAGGCTCAGGGCTCAGGGTTCGGGGAGCTGGGAGGGGAGTGGGGGGAGGCGGGAGGGGGGGGAAGGTCGGCAGGGGTCACCTTGATGCAGCCCAGAGCCAGGCAGCCGGCCACTCTGGTCTGCACATCCTCGTCCTCCAGCTGTTCCAGGAAGCACAGCAGGGCCTGGGTAAGGGTGGGAGGGCAAACTCAGGCCGGGACTCAGGTGGGACCCCAGCCTCCGCCCTCCAGGGAGGCCTGCCCAACTCTCACCCTTTCCCTAAAGGTGGGGCCCAGCGACAGGCTACGGAGCTGAGTGCTGACAGCAGCCATGACCTTGTTGTTGCCGTGGACGAGCAGAGAGCTGAGGGCCCGGAGTCCATCCCTTTGAAGCCGCCCCTCAGGTGCCAACCTCAGGGCCTTCAGCACAACAGCCTGGTCATCCGAGTTCAGATTCCGCACCAGTAACACTGAAAGAAGGAATTTGGGCAGTGGGGGAGGGGGTGTCAGTTGGAACAAGGTGGCAGGGCAAAGAGCCTCTGAGGGTAGGGTCTTTTGTACCCTTGTGTCCTGAATCTACACCTTCAGACCCACCCACAGGGCCAGGTCACTTTGGACCAGGGTCACTGCCTCACCCTCCTCAGCTGTCTCGGTTACATAGGCCTCCATGGAGGAGCAGTCCAAGGCTTCGATGTAACTCCAGAACTGGAAGATGGTGAGCTGCTCTCCAGGGCCTGCCTCGCTCCGGGGCAGCTTCTGGCCCAGGGCATCCTCCAGGAACTTGACGCACACTGTGGGAGGCAGGGTTGCAGGTCTCAGGGAGTGGAGGGACCTGGGTCATTAGAGGGAAGGGTGCCCCATCCCTGGTGCACGTCCAGGAAGTCCCTGTCTGATCTGGGCCCTTTTGTGCTGAGGCATGTGCCTTTGTTATTTCTTCCCAGTACTCAACTCAGCGTGTCTGTGTGGGCTGACCTGGCTTTCCCTAAGGTCCCATCCATCACTGGGGATCTGAGAAAGGAGGGTAGAGGGGGCAGGCCGGCAGCCCACTCACCAGCCTCGGCTAAGCCTGGCTGGCGCAGGGAGAGACGGGCGCTGTACTGATTGCAGAAAGTGAGGAGCACCCGCTCCACAGGGCAGATGAAAGGGCTGAGTCCCTCTGTGCATTGGTCCCAGAAGGTCAGGAAGCCAGGCCGAGAGGCTGAGAACTGCACCACTGTGAGGAGATGCAGGAAACTGTCAGCAACAGAGCAAGCAGGTGGTGAGACAGGCGTGCAGGTGGGGCAGGGCAAGGCGGGAGCTCTGGAACACACGTGAGCCAGGGCCCACACAGCCTTTACCTTCCTGGGCAGAGGTGGCAGGCATTTCCCATCGCCTGCTGAACTCGCATACTGCTTCAAGCACTCGGGCCTCCCGCAGTAGCCGCTCCAGGGCCCATGCCTCCTGGCAGCGCAGGGGCCCAAATGTGCCCAGTTTCTGGAGAACAGGGGTGGCCAAGTAGCTCAGACCTCAAGGTAGAGCTTAGAGAGGATGGAGACCGGGGACTGCAAGTCCCAGCATGCATCGGGAGAGGCTTGGGGGAGCCAGTGTGTGGGAGGTGTTCCATTCAGCAAGAGCCAGGCCCTGGGACATTGGGGAGTGGAACTCAGAGGAGGGGTGAAGGGCCATGAGTGAGGCACAGGGCTCCCTGGGGGAAGCAGCTACCAGGGGAGGGTCGGGGGAACACCACTAGCCTCACCAGCAGGAGGCGGCTGCAGTGATACAGGTGCTGGACCAAGGCAGCATCCAGAGCTGGACACTCTGTGCTGAGGGGTCGGGCACTGGGCGAATCGAGGCTGTCCTCAGCCCCAGGTGCTAGGCTGTTTGGGGGCCTGAGAGAAAGATGGGGTCAACCGCCCCAGGAGCACACATCATCATCTGGTCACCAGTGAATTTTTATTAAGCTCCCCCCATCCCAGAACAGAACAGATGACACATAAACAACAGACAATGGGCAAGTTCATGGAAGACTTCCAGAAGGAGGAAAGGGCTGGGACTAATGGGGTGGCAGGGGTCTGCCCAGAGTCCATCTGCCCAGGGACCCCTCCAGCTACGACCGCCAGGATCGTTGGGGCCAGGACGGGCGGGAGTACGGCTGCAGGCGGGATGGCCTACACAAAGTGGACTGCGAGAGGTTGTGGCCCAAGGGGCGCGGGGCATGGGGTCGTAACCTGTGCAGCATCAGAGGGAGGAGGGGCCGTGCAAGATCTTCAACTGGGAGTTGGCAAAGGCCACTCCGGGACAGAGAGCCAAGGGGCCTGGGTCTCTGGGCAGACTGGGATCCAGACAGAGGAGGTTGATGCTGAGGGACGCAGGACACACAGGGAGGCACAGAAAGGGCTCGTTCATAGCGTGGGTTCAAGGTGAGGCCAAGGAAGAGAGGAGGAGCTGGAGACTCAGGAGCTGACAGGGACCGACGGGGGAGGCAGACACTGCAGGGATGAGGAGGAAGGTGGCCAGAAGCACTGGGGATACAGATGGGGTTGAAAACATGGGCACCAAGGACGCACAAGGAGTACATGGGTGGGATGAACACAGAGGCACCTATCAGGAACCCCCCTCCTCCAGCCCACCTCTCATCTTGCTGCTCTCTATGTGGTCCACCTGGCCTCACCTCACCTGTTCCCCTTTCTCACCTTTCTCCTTCACCTGGTACTCACCTCCCCTCTTCCCCCTCACCTTGCCCTTCTCACCTGTCCCCAGGACTGTCATTGTCTTCATCTTCATCCTCGTTGAGGAAGCTGAAGCTCTCCAGGGCGTGCTCCACAGTGATGCTGAGACTGGAGGCCCGGCTCCGAGTCAGGCCTTGTCTCTGCTGGGGTTTTGAAGGGCGTCAGAGCTGCTGCCCCTGCATGGCTGCCCTCCCTATACCACCGCAGCCCAGTCCGGCCCTCCTCACCATAAGCAGACTCTCCAGCCGGGTCACCTCCTGCTCCAGGCCCTGCAGCTCGGGAAACTGGCCACGATAGTCATCCAGGGCAGCCACCAGGGCCCCCAGAGCCTCTTCCAGCCTCCTGTCCCCAGCCCCTCCAGCTGCCCCTGGAACTAGGGCTGGAGAAGCCCTGGCCACTCCAGGGTCTGGATACTGGGGCAAAGGGGCTAGGGGTGAGGGAGGGAGACTTGGGCTCTGACAGATGGCTTCTGGGGGGTCCAGCGAAGGGCTTGTGAGGGGCTCCCAACTAGAACAAGCAGGACTTGGATGGGAGGTGCTGGGGGCTATGGGGTCTGCCTGAGTGCAAGGAGTGGAGGCTAGGTAACTACCAGACAGGGGGTCAGTGCCTAGGTGGGGAGGGTCTGTATTTGCAGAAGAGCTGGAGAGCTTGGCAAAGTCTAGAAAAGTGGAGGGGCTTACAGTTATAAGAGTGGGACTTGTGACAGAATGGGTGGGACTCCTGGTGTTCTGGACTGGGTCCTTAGTGTTGGGTGTAGTGGTGTTAGTTGACATCTTGGCTTTGGGAGTAGTGGTTGCAGTAGTATGGGTGGGGCCTGTGGTGGTATAGGTGGGGCTTGCAGTAGTGTGGGTGGGGCCTGTGGTAGTATAGGTGGGGCTTGCAGTAGTGTGGGTGGAGCCTGTGGTGTGGGTGGGGCTCACAGTGGTATGGGTGTGGCTTGGGGTGGCGTGGGTGGGGCTTGGGGTGGCGTGGGTGGGGCTAGTGGTAGTCTGCACTGGACCTGTGGCACTGGCTGTAGGGCCTGCAGTAATGAGAGTAGAGCAAATGGGCTTGTTGGTAGCGATTGTGACAGTGTGTGTCAAGTTTGTGACAGCGTGGCTGAGGTTTGTGGTGGTCTGGACTGGGTCTGTAGTATTGGTGCTAGGAGCTGCAGGAGTGAGGGTAGAAAGCACTGGTTTGTGGGTGGGACTTGTGGTGGTCTGGACTGGCCCTGTGGTACTGGGGGTAGGACCTGTGGTAGTGAGGAGAGAGACCACCATCTTGTGGGTAGAAGCTGTGGTAGAGTGAGTGAGGCTTCGAGCACTAAGGGTAGGGCCTATGGCACTAGAGGTGGAGCCTGTAGTGGTGTGGGTGGGCAGTTCAGGAGAGCTAGAATTTATGGTCTTGTTAGCCGAGCCTAGGTGAGCAGATGGGGCAGGGCCTGTTGTACTAAGAGTGGGGCTTGTGGCAGAATGGCCAGCATCCAGGGCAGGAGGGACAGGAGCAGGGTGCTCCCCATGGGTGGGATCTGGGCACGCAGGTGGGCTAGGTCCCCGGACTAGACTTTCTAGGTCTGCAGCCTCCACTGAGGCCTCAGCCAGGGCGGCGTCCACACTGGCCTCACTGATGTGGCTCAGAGTCCTGCTGTAGGGGGCATGCCCATTGGCCAAGGCTGGGGCCACAGCCCCCTCCTCATCCATGGGCCCAGAAGTGGAGGTCTCAGCCCTACGGAAGGCAACGTGGATGGGCAGAGGCTCAGGCTGCTGCACCAGGGGCCTGGGGGCTGAGGAGTGGCGGGCAATGCCTGAGAGCTGTGGGCTAGATGAGTCATCAGAAGATTCAGATGACAGGGACCATGCTGTCCCATTCTCCAGCTCCTCCTGCCGCCTCAGCATATTCTGGGAGAGAGGAAAGGACATTTCAGGACCACCTCTTCTTGGGGAAGGTGGTGCCGAGCCTGGAATGTGACTCACATAAAAGGCCTGTTCCCGAAGCGAGGGTGTGTCTGGTGGGCTCTGGCTATAGGTGGAGAAGCGCTTGGTGACTGTGGAGGCCTTGTTGACAGTAGAAGCAGCTGAGGGCTGGTCGTCCTTGTCGAAGGGACTGGAGAGGAAAGGAGATGTTAGCAGACGACACAAATCCCAGCCCTCTCTCCAAGTCCCTCAACCCCACCAACCTCCATGTCACTTCCAAGCTCAGCTTGATGGTGCCAAGATCATTAATATCCACTGCTACAACCTGGGGCAAGGCAGCGAACAGGTCCTTGGTCTCACAGGAGACGCTACCTACAACCACATGGTTGGCCAGGCCCTTCAGTTCTGTCACCTGTAGCCAAGAATGCATGGTGGGGTCATAAGGGTGTAGGGGTCATGAGATTGTGGGGGATCAGAGGTCTGAACTTGCACAGTCTCAGGGTCATGGGGCTATCCATGCAGGCTTGAAGCATTCTGGGAGCACAGGGATCACAGAGGTCCAAATCTGTAGTCACTATGGTCACGGGGTCACAGCCTCATGGGAGTTCAGGGGTCAAATATTCACCAGGTCAGAAGATCATGGGGAAATCACAGGGTCATGAAGGTCAAGGGGTCACACATTCACAGAGCCAAGGAAACAGGTGGGGGTCACAGGCATTAAGGGTCTCAAGGTCATGAAGGTGCAAAGGGTTCATGGGTCACAGAGTCACAGGATCTTGGTATCCTATGGTCCTGGGCAGAGACGTCACCTTGATGGACAGGAATTCCGTGAGCAGAGGCAGAAAGACGGTTTCCTCGCTGTCCCACACCTGCTTTCCACTGCTCTCTATGCGGCCCCGTAGTTTCCAGCGCTGACGCCCATATTTCATGTAGATCTAGGGGAAGAGGCAGGATGAAGCAGACTTCCATGTTGCGACCCTGCCATCCCAGCCCCTCCCTTCCCATCCTCCTACCTCATACTGGTCGCCAACACACAGCCTGGCGAAGCCGGCCAGCCCTGGGAGTCAGGGAGAAGGAGATGAGCTGGGTCCAGGGGTCTCAGGGACACACTTCCCTCCCCTGGCCGCCAGTCAGCCTCACTGCTCGGTACCTTTCATCCGAAGGTGGAACTCCCCCAGCTGTGCTTCCAGCTCGCTCTCCAACAGACACATGCTCTGGACGGAGAGATGGGGGCGGGGAACGACAGGAAGAAGTCAAAACCCAGTCCCCTCTCACCAACTCTACTGTACCCTGTGCCTCAGCCTCAGGGGCGCACATCCCTCACCTCTGTGTACTCACGATGCCCTCGAGTAGCCTCGGCCAGGCTGTCCCGGGCCTCGCGGCTCCCCGGGGAGCCGGTGCTGTAGGCACGGACCATGTTGTAGGCGCCGTCCCGGAGACGCCGCTGCACGCAGTATGACTCATACAGCTCATCAATCTGGGTAGAAGAGTGGGGTGGCAGAGGGGGACTGAGACTCACTGCTGGGGTTGCTCCCTCAGGGCCTCCCATCACCCACTCTCCCTGTGACACCTGACCCCCCACCCCAGGCTGCAAACACACACGTACGCCGCATGAGTACCTTGCTGGCATGGAACTCCAGCCGTCGCAGGAAGCGTTCAATGGACTTGACTTGCTGGGGGAAAGGTGTGTTAGAAGCTTGAGGCCCAGGGCCCTTTACCTACCTCTGAGTCAACCTCTTCCAACACCATTCTCTATACACTCACCTTGTCCAGGTCATACAGGAAGCCCTGCAAGGGGGGAGTGGGCACATTAGGAGGTAGGGGAAGAACTCCAGCAGGGGCACCCGCTTGGCCAGAGCATCCAGCACCTCTCCCTCCCAGGCTTCCTCCTCTCACACCACAGTCCACAGCCATTCCAGTCAAAGCAGGGACTGGCCTACCTCTCACATGCCTGGTCTCTACAGGTGTCAGAGATCTGGTCCTCAGGACCACTCCAGCACTCTTCCCCCTGCCTCTTCTGTGAGACCCTTCCCCTGGCCCACTGCCTTTGTGACCATCCCTAGGACGAGCACTCTGTGCCTCCTCATGCCTGGTTCTCCCTGACACGGAACTCCTGTTGATTCTCCAAGACCCAGCAGAAACGGTTCTTTCTCCACGAAGCCCTGACCTCCTCCCCGGAAAAAACCACGGCTCTCGCTCAGGACCACCAAAACCTAATCTCAACATAATCTCCTGCTGTCCGTGTCAGCGGGGTTTGACCCACCCCACTGGAAGTTCCCAGGGGGGCAGGCACTGGGTCACAGGCAGAAAGTGCACACAGCCTGGGAAGGCGGAAGAGAGAAACTTCCTATCAGTTTTGCCTGATGCCCCTTTTCTAGTCACACCTGGACTGCGTCACCCCAGAAAACAGCCCTGATGTTAGCCAGCACTGGCCCTGCCCAGCCCCCCAACACCACAAAAGCAAAAAGCGTTAATCCAGGACATACAGTATGCCAACTCTTCACTCACCAGGCGGGAATTCCTCTTGGAGTCCCTTATCTGTCCTTGGAGTTTCTCCTGCTCCTGCTGGTGCACTTCCAAATAGGCCCTGGGTAAACGGTGACCACAGAGTTTTCTTACTTCTCCAGCCTCTATCTGCCCAAGGAACGGGCAGTGAGGAGAGGGAGTGAGGCTGGGGAAGGTTCCCATTAGCAGGAAGGGATCCTGGGACAAGGGGTTGGGAGGGCACTGCTTACGTCAGGCCTCGCTTGAGCGCAGTGTACACCAGGTCCAGGCGCTCAGGCTGCGGGACCTTGGGGGCCGGGTGCGCCACTGAAAACATCTTGGACACCCGGGAGATCGCCGGGGGCTTCCGTGGGGGCCCCGGGGGACTGAAGGCCGGGAAGCTCCTGAAGAAGAGACTGCACTCAGAAAGAGGCAAGAAGTCCTCCCCCACACCCTCACTGGCACACTCCCACCCGGCCAACCTCTCTGGACCCGTCAGCCCCCTCTGCTGCCTACCTGGGCCCCCGCTCCTGGCTGCCGAGGACGCCTGCGAAGGACTGGCTCCTACTGACCCGGGCGCTGAGCAGGCGGCGCTGCGGCCGCACCGACAGGGACATCATGGAATGAGTCCGCGCGGGGCTCCCTGGGGGTGGCGAGGGCGGGTGTCCAGCGCCAGTCAAGCCCTTGAAGCCCCCTCCCTGCAGCCCAGCCTCTGTTTCTCAGTCCCGCCGGACACCACCGCTTGCCGCTGGCAGGCCAAAACGCACCGGCCTGGGCCCTAATGACAGGGCGGCCGCGGCTGACTCGGTCTCGGACTCAGCGTGGCCTCGGCTCGGCCCCCACTTCCTGCAGAGGTGCAGGCTCCGCCTGCCGCGCGGGGCAGGAAGGAGGGTCGCGCTGGGACCCTCCCCGGGCTGGGAAGGGGCAGGAAAGGGGAGGGGCACGCAAAGAATGTGCGGAAGCGTCTGTTTACCCGGGCGTGGGGCGGGCTCCCCAGCCCTGCCCCTGACCTCCTCCCCCAAGTGGGGCCAGGAGCTCCCACGCCCGCACCCCGAGAGGCCGCGGGAGGTCACGGGGCGGGGCGGGGTGCATGCTTGGAGCCCAGCGGAGCGGTCTGGCAGGCCCGGCCTGCGCAGGTTGGGCTCCCCAGACCCGCCCGCCCCGCGGAAGCTGCTCCCCTCCAGCCGCCACCCGCCCCTAGGCGCCCAGAGCGCGGGGATTCCCAGGGTGAGGGGCAGTGCCGAGAAGGGCCCCGCCCCCTCCTCTTCCCTGAGACTCGGATCGGGAAACTGAGTCACAGACAGCCGCCTTCGCCCGGACCTTAGCGGGAAGAGATCCTTGACAAAGCCCCACACAGATTCGGCGAACCCCGCGCCCCGGGCGCCCAGAACTCGGCCCGCACGCCCCTGGGACAGCCCCGGAGCCTCCGCAGCCCCAGACCTGGTCTTACCTCTCTTCTTGGCGCTCATGGTAAGTCCGGGACAGCCCCCTAGTCCCCGCGCTGGCCCCCCCGCCCGAGTCCACTTCGGCCCAGGGCCCCTTGGTGCCGGCCCGGCTGGACTCCGTGCTCGCTCCCAGAGACTGGCTCCTGGCTTCAGCTCCTCCCGGCGCCGCCCCCCGCCCAGTTCCTGCCGCCTGACTCAGCCCGCCGGGATGGGGCGGGACCGGCCGGATCAGGGGGGCACCGGGCCCTCGGCCCCCCTGGTCTCTGGGAGGGGTGACTGGGGTTCCCCTCGGGCTGGGAACTGATGGGGATCGTCTCAGCCGGGTCTGGAGTGCGGGTAAGGGGAATCGAGCGTGGCGGTGTATGTGGAGGGATAAACAGAGTGAAGACAACAAGGTGGGGGCTGAACTGAGTGTAGTTTATACAGGGGGTTCATAGAGCGCCTGTTGGAGGGTGCTGAGAGAGGTCTGAGTACAGAGGGCTGAGAGATGGGGTTCTGAGTATGTGAGGTCTTCTGAGAGAGCAGAAGTAAGGGCTGCGGGTGCTGAGTGGAGGGACTGTGCGGAAGGATGGCAGAGAGGCACTGAGCATGAGGCGGCCCTGAGGCTGAGACAGGCGGACCTTAAAGTGGGCGACAGGATCAACCCCATATTATGTGCTGTTGTCCTCAGAAGGAAGAGAAGGAACTGGGGGCAGATAGTCCCACAGCACCGTGCACCACCCCCAGCCCTCCACCCACAAAAGTGGTGCTTAGTCTGAGGGACTCCCTCCACCCCCAGGCCATGGGGAAAGGATCAGGTCCCACTGCTGATCAGCACCTTCTCTCCAGCAGAAATTGCCTCCTAGGAGAGAGGCCCCATCCTCTGGCTCCCAGCTTGCATGGGCTGAATCCCCTTGATGTTTGCCCTTTCTTGCTCCCAGTATCTCTCCATTGACTATCCCCATCCAACTCTTGCCTTGATAGAGGCCACCATGCCCAGGGTCCACTAGGCATCTCATCCCCTCAGAGGAGCTAGGTGCTCCCCTACCCTGTAAACACTCCTGCTCCCTGAGCTCCATTCAGCCGTCCTGGGCTTACTTTCTCCCCAAAAGACTGAGGTGGGCCCAGGCATCTGCATTTCCAGTCAGTCACCCCCACCCCCAGATACAGATTCAAATGCAAGATGTCCCAGGATCTTGAGAAGTGCTATCTCCCCCTCCCTCCTTGAAGACAGTGCTGTGGCCCCCTACTCTGGCAGCTATCCATTCCTGTGGATTGCCCACCACTCTCTGCTCCCTGCAGCCACCCTCCATCGGAACACCCCAGCCTCATCACCTGGCTCTGGAGTGCCCCCCTTCCTGAATCAGAACCACACTGACCACAACTTTCAGGCTCTCTCCATCACCCCCATCTCACCTGCCTTCTACCCGAGACCTCCTGAAGCTCTCAGCTCATTTATTCAACTATTTACTAAGTAACAATCTTTAGTCACTGGAGAGGCAACTGTTATTGCACAGACATCACCCTGTACAAAGCTCACAAGCTGCCTCTGCTTCCTTTCTCCCCGCCACCTCCCTCCCACGTTCCCGGCACAGCCTTCTCCCCAGCCTGTATCTGCAGCCACCCCTCCAGCTTGCCCACCTGCTAATGTCCCCAGCACTCTGAGCTACTCCCTTACCTGGCAGAAACCAACCCTGGGCAACCCAACCCCCTGCCTTCTCTGCACCTGCACACTGACTAGCGGGAGCCACCAGAGGTCTTGGCACAGCAGCTGGGCTGGAAAAGAGCAAGTCTCAACCTCAGCCAGGCTCTTGTTTCCCACGTGGGAAATCCTCACGTGTGGCCCTAGCCATCCCTCTCCCTTCCCATGGAAGATGTTTCAGTCTTTCGCCACAAACCTCAAACAAGTTCCAGTCACTCCCACATAAAAGGTGAAAACAACCCTGGAAATATCCAAATGCCCACCGGTAGATATAATAGAATGCTATACAATGAAAAAAATGAACAACATACAACTACATGCAACAACAGGGATGAACCCTACAGACATAAGGTTGAATGAAAGAAGCAAGACCACAAGAAAGGATACATGTATGAGTTGATATGACGTTCAGTTGATATGATGTTCAAAAACAGTTAGCCTATGGTGGCAGAAATCAATAGATAGTAGTAACTATTAATAGCAGTGACACTAGCCCTGGGGAGTAGTAACTGGAAGGGAGCACAAGGGGGCTGACAGGGTACTGATTATGTTCTGTTTCCTAATCTGGGTTCTATTTCCTGATCCTGGATGGGTGTGTTCCTTTGTGAAAATGTATTGTGAGCTGTCCACTTAGGGCATGTACCCTTTCTGTGTGAATATTCTATTTCAATACAAAGCTAACTTTAAATAAATCAACTATAAAAAGAAATGACCCCTCTGTGGACTCGCAGTCTCTTTCCAGCTACCCCACCCTCACCCTATTTGGCTCTTTCAGAGCCAAGTTTCTTGAAGAGGTGTGTCCACCTCCACCTCCTCTCCCCACCCACCCACTCTTCTTCCTACCCTGTCCAGTTTCTGTACCCTGCACTCCCGACTGGTCTGGATGACACGGTTGCCAGTGACTTCCCCATTGCTGAATTGCGTGTTCAATGTTTAGTCCTTATCCTGCTTGATCCGAGCAAAGTTTTTCACTGGGCAGTTCTCTTCCTCTTCCTCAAGCCTTTCCTTCTCTTGAATTTCAAGAGGCAACACACCCCTGGCTTTCTACCTCTCTCTCTGGCTGCACTTCTTATTTTCCCACAGGGTTATCTGTCTTTCTCCCCATCCCTGAATGATCCTCATCCTCCTCCCTACTTATGGACTGGGCACCTCTCCCACAGCTCAATACCATCTAAAGGTTCCCAGCTTCTTTCTCTTTTCCTTGCCCAAACCGTTCTTCTGAGTACCAGGCCTGTTCATCCAGCTGCCTGCCTGATGCCTCCCGGAAGCTGAGTAACAAACTGGAGTGGGTTACTAGGGATGTGCTGAATTTCAAGTCCCCGAACTAAAGTCACTTTCCTCCTCAAACCTGACTCTCCCTTCTCTCTCCATGACAGGCCCATCATATATGTATCCAGTTGTTAAAGACAGAAACTAAGAATCATCCTGGATGCCTCAGTCTCTGTTACCCACCCACACATCTACTCAGTCACCCACTCCTGCCATCTCTGGCATCTGTCCCGTCACATCCACCCCCTCACCTAGAACTCAAGTTCAAGCCATCACCGGTTCTCACCTAGAATCCTACAACAGCTTCCTGATGAATTCCCTGTCTCCATGCTAACCCACAATGATCTGTTTTTTTGTTTGTTTGGGTTTTTTTTTTTAGTTTTATTTATTTGGCTGCACTGGGTCTCAGCTGCGGCACTCAGGATCTTTAGTTGCGACATGTGGGATCTAAGTTCCCTGACCAGGGATCGAACCTGGGCCCCCTGCATTGGGAGCATGGCATCTTAGCCACTGGACCACCAGGGAAGTCCCATGATCTATTCTTCATTCAATAACAGCACTACCCCTCTTGAAACTCCAGTCACCTGACAACAATAAAAACTGTCCTTTATCAAGTGCTTTCTATGCCAGGCATTGTACTTAACTAATAAACATCGTCTCATTTAATCCTGACAACAACCCTATGGGGTGAGTCCTATTAGCCCCACTTCACAGATGAGAAACCTGAGGCTAACTGGCTGTGTGACTTCAGGCAAGACATTTCCTAACCTTTCTGGGCTGCAGATATCCATCTGTTAAATGAGGATAACAACAGTAATAATAACAACTATCAGGGCTGCTGGGAGGATGAAATGAGATACTTCCTCTATTGGGAGTTTTCGGGGAAGGGAGAATTGCATGTGGGGTAGGGAAGTTGGGGTGGACACAATACCTCATTGTAAGCACACAGTAAATATTAACTGCTGTTATTAACAATTATTAATCTGCCTGAGATGACCCAGCTGTTAAGTAGTAGGGCTAGGACTCTGTATCTTTCACATCCCTCTAGTCGAACTCTTGTGAAACATCCATGGGCATCCCCCTACCCCAAGGATAAAGTCCAGACTCTCTAACATGACCCACAAGACCTTCAGGCTCTGTTCCTCCCCTCACATACCTTCCTCCTCCCCTCACAATCCTCTGCTCCCCCAGGGTCATTCTGTTCCAGCTACCCTGAATTCTCTCCAGGCCTATAAGCAGCAGCTCTCATTGACCGTATACCCCCTTCCCACTACTCTCAGCCTGACCAGCTCCCTCTCTTTTTTCTTTTACCCTACTACCTCTTCCTTCAGGAAGCCTGCCCTCAATTGGTTCCCCCTTGTAGGCGCCTCATAGCTTCCTCTCTCTGATCCCTGAGGTCACATAATTCTGTTGTCAGTTCTCCTTTAGGGTCTGTCTTTTAACCAGACTGTGAGCTCTGGTGGCTGAGGCCTGCCTGCTCTGCTCACTGCAGTGTCCTCCATGCCCTGCACCAAAGCAGTGGAGGTGGGCAGGAACTGAGTCTGAGCTGGGGGCAGATGGAACTGGGAATGCTCTGAGCTACTTCAGGGGTACATTTCCAGTCTGTCCCCCCAACTCCCCTACCTCATGGTCAGTTTCCTCTTCCCTTCCTTCCTTTCTGATTGTATCAGCAAGTGGAGTTCTGCACCACCACCCGCAGCCCCGGAGGACACGGTAGGGGATCCCTGGGAGTCTGGAACTGAGTGGGTGGGCCGGACTCAGAGGAGGCTGACCTTCCCATCAATTTTCTTTCTCTGACTGGGCTTCTGCCACGGGGACCAGGACATGTAACTGCTGGTCCAAATGACCATCAGAATATTAATCTAAGTGACAATTCCAGGGGGTGACTAGGCAGGATCTCCCCTGCCAGGGGCGGGGAGAAAAGCTGAACCCCTTGAGCTAAGAGAAAGGGTCCACTTCAACGGGAGGAGGGGCTGGCTGATAAGAGTCAGGGGACTCTCTAGACTCTTGCCAGCCCTTAAGTCTGTTCTGGACATGGGAAAGAACCCAGGTCTCAAGGGTGTTGGGACCTGCGGCATGGCCAGCTGGA